ATGATACAACCCCGTCCCAAACAATAGGGTACATTCATAGTAAGTAAAACTGCACTTAAGGTCATCTAGAAGACAGCCATTAGGAGAATCAGATGGTGGGAAGATCAAAGAACAAAGTACATTTAACACCCAGTCATTCAGTGAAGGTTCGAAGTTACAAGGGTGCTGGACAAGAGGGACTTAATGGGTCCTCATAATTGTGGCCATTGCAGTGCCCCATGGGTCACATGATTTTGGCACCTTGCAGTCATGTGATCACTATTTATAGCCTTCACTGCCAAAGTCCAACAAAAAAAGTCAACGAACCCCTCAAATCCAGGAAGGACTTTAGTAACTGAAGGGCCCTTGGTGGCCTCTGATCTTGGTTGTTTATTTGCAGACATTTCAACGCCCAACTAGGTAACCTCCTCAGTGCTAGAGGGGAATGGCGTCTATGAAGGAGGAAGAGGATTGTGAGGTCCTTGGTGCTCCCTGAGCTTGGTTGTTTTCTTGCAGACGTTTTATCACCCAACTACGTAACATCAGCAGTGCTAGAAGGGGGTGCGGTTTGCTTTCTGTTTGACCTGAAAAGATGTCCTTCTAGCACTGATGATGTTACCTAGTTGGGTCATGAAATTTCTGCCAGAAAACAACCAAGCTCAGAGAGCACCAAGGACCCCACTGTCCTCCTTCTCTTCCTCCTCCTCCTCTTCCTCCTCTTCTCCTCCTCCTCTTCTCCACTTCCTCCTCCTCCTTTCTAGCACTGATGATGTTACCTAGCTGGGTAATGAAACGTCTGCAAGAAAACCACCAAGCTCAGAGAGCACCAAGAACCCCACAGTCCTCCTCCTCCTCCTCCTCTTCCTCCTTTCTAGCACTGATGATGTTACCTAGTTGGGTAATGAAATGTCTGCCAGAAGGCCATCAAGCTCAGAGAACACCAAAGACCCCTTCATTTCAACCCCGAGCTACAAAGGTTCTCCTTTATGAATTCAATACCTGCATAGCCGAGAGGGCTGTGCAGTTCTCCGAGATCCCTTTGGCATCTTCCTCTGTGATCTTTTTGACTTGAAGAAGCCAGGCGGCCTGAGCAAGAGGCTCCAAAGTCTCCTTGGAAGAACTGCTCTGCAGGTTCTTCTCCTTCAGCCATTCCTCCAGGTAGCTGATGTTGCACCTGGGACGATGAAGCAGCAGAAAACGGCCGTTTGGTTTTAAAACATCCTTCTAGATTTAAAACAGCACCGTCACCCCCCCAAACCTTTTGGGGACCAGGGTGAGAGAGGTTCTTCTGCGGACCAGAAGTTGGGGATGTGGTTTCGCATATGGCCTCCATCCCACAGATGGGGCTTCACTTGTTTGCATGGCCCGGTTTTTGGCATGCCATGGCCCGGTGCTGGTTCACAGACCAAGGGTTGGGGACCAGAGGTGGTATTCAGCCGGTTCTGACCAGTTCTGGAGAACTGGTAGAGGAAATAGTTGAGTAGTTCAGAGAACCAGCAAATGCCACTTCTGACTGGCCCCGCCCCCATGTATTCTCCGCCTCCTGTGTCCCAGCTGATTGGCTGGGTCTTCTTTGGTTGCCCTGCACAGGAGAACGGAGCTGGAAAGCGGGTTAGTGGAGCGGGGAGGGAATGGGATTTTGCAGTATCCTCCCCCTGCCATGCCCACCAAGCCACGCTCACAGAACTGGTCTAGGATATCTTAAATTTTTTGTATTTGAGCTTTTATGTCATATCCCATAAATACTGATTAGCATAGCCAATAGCCTATGTTGAGCTATCATACCAAAATGTATAGGTATGATAACTCAAAAGAGGCAGATTTCCTTAGGGAATGCTATTTTTGCAGGTGCCTGCTGGGGCTTTAAACATTTACCTTTTGAAGCATAGCAAGAGATTCTCTGGAATGGATTCCTTTTGTGATGCTCTCAAAAATGTGTCTTTTAAATCTGCCATCATTTAAAACAGCAATTTCCCTTCTCACTGATGATATGTATTTTGATTCTAAGTACCATTTTCCCTTGCAATAATTCCGTTTTTATCAAAGGCAATGAAATATTTGTGACCTAACCAATATTCTGGCTATGTGACCTGTTCCTCTCATTAATCTCCTGATACTAGCTGGGATTACACTTAGGACTAAGTCCTAATGTGGTTAGTTTGACACTGGCTTAAGTATGATGGGCAAAATGAGCCAAATGTAATTTATAAACCATGATCTATGATTGAGAACTCAGGTAAACTATCAGCATCATTTGTTGTACAAGATGCCTATCACAACTTTGCATGTTGCTTATCCATCTTACTTGTGCAACCCAATTTAAATTTGTCACTTTAATTGTTGAGCTGCTTTTGAAATTTCTCCCTCCCTTTAAATGGAAGTGTGGAATCTAGAGTTCTGGTGGTTGTTATTATTGTTATTTTTCAAAAGGTTTACCTTATTTGCATGCCCTTTCTGCAAGAGCACATGTCTTTCCGAAGGAAGAGGCTATTCAGAGTAACTGCTCCGATGAGAAAGAAAATCTGCCTCACGGCCTGCTTTAGAAGCTCCGGGTCTAAGCCGTTCTGACACATGGTTGTGTAAAAATAGCTGAGCTGTTGCAAGATGGAGGTCATAGTGTAAGCATCTGTGTCATCGATGCTAGAAGAACGTTTGCGAAATCCGGTTGGTTTTAAGCCCGAAATCCCCTGGAGACTTTCATATTCCAGCATTCCTGGTACTGTAGAAGGATAATAGAAAGCAATCAAGAAAGCAAGAAAGCAAGAAAGCAAGAAAGCAAGAAAGCAAGCAAGAAGGAAGGAAGGAAGGAAGGAAGGAAGGAAGGAAGGAAGGAAGGAAGGAGGAGCGAAGGAAGGAAGGAAGGAAGGAAGGAAGGAAGGAAGGAAGGAAGGAA